GCCACTGCACTCCAGCCTGGGTAATGGAGTGAGACTCTATCTCAAAAAAAAAATTACAATGAATTTGTAGATCACTTTAGTAGTAACTGATATCGTTGTTATATTAAATCATGTTAACCATGATCACAGTACTTTTCTCCAATTATTTAGGCCTTCTTGATGGTATTTCAATATATTTTTACAAACTTATCCCAAAAAAGGGCTTATAGTTTTTTTGATATTTTATTTCTAGGTATTTTCTGTATGTTTTTAGGGGTCTACAAATGCAGTTAACTTGTTTATTGCATAGGGTATAGACTGAGATAATTCCAGCTGGAGTGTAGTGGCTAACTTACTGCAATCTGGACCTCCTGGGCCCAAGCGATTCTCCTACCTCAGCCCCCTAGTAGCTGAAACAGCAGGTGTGTGCCACTATGCGCAGCTGATTTTTAAAATTTTGATAAAAACAGTCTCCCTATGTTATCTAGGCTGATTTTGAACTCCGGGGCTCAAGCAGTCCTCCCATCTTGGCCTCCCAAAATGCTGAGATTACCGGGCCTAGCCTAGGAAAAGCCTTCCAGTTTTGGCAGAAGGAACAAGAAATGGTATTCTTAACACCAAGAGAAACTGGGGCAATCTGTTGCTTCTGAGTGTTTACACATACATACAAATATATGTATATGTTTTCCTGCCTGTTTTTCCATGTCACAGCCTCCAGACAGTCTCACAGCAATAGCAGCAGCAGCAGTAGAAGCAGTGGGGGCCTGCAGGTATCTAAAACTACAGGGGATAGGAACCTTCTTTTCTTATTAGAGTTGCTACAGAGTGAACCCCCATCACTCTTTTTCCTCCTGCCACACCCAGCCGTAGTTGCAGAAAGTACAAAGCAGAGGGAGGTGACTTAAGCCCCAGGGTTATGACAAGAGAACCGAAGAGGGGAGATCCAGGGAACAAGAAAGTATCAAGGAACAAGTTCAAAAAAGAATCACAGCAAGGAACAAGTTCAAAAAAGAATCCATGTTCAAGTTCAAAAATTCCAAAGTAAAAAAAAAAAAACCACCTCAGTTTTTATGAACTCCTAGGCTCTTTTGACCTGAATATATGTGGATCTGTCCATAAATAACATATCAAAGACTAAAGTTTAAGTTTTAGATTGGACTAGGTGGTGCACACACAGGACAAATCCAAGTAACATTGCAAAGCCCTTGAAAACCAAACTGACGTTGGAATCAAAGTCCACAGGCTTGTTGGAACTTGCAGCCTGAACTAAACAGGGTCAATACCTGTTCAAAGGAAAGTATCAATCATCTGCATACGATTTATTTTATTTTATTATTTATTTTTGAGACAGAGTCTTGCTCTGTTGTCCAGGCTGGAGTGCAGTGGTGCAATCTCAGCTCACTGCAACTTCTGCCTCCTAGGTTCAAGCAGTTCTCTGCTGCAGACTCCGGAGTAGCTGGGATTACAGTTGCCCACTACTATATCCAACTAATTTTTTGTATTTTTAGTAGAGATGGGATTTCACCATGTTGGGCAGGCTGGTTGTGAACTCCTGACTACATGATTCATCTGCCTTGGCCTCCCAAAGTGCTGGGATTACAGGTGTGAGCCACCAAGCCCAAGAGAGTTAATTCTTCTTTACGTGTTTGATAGATTTTACTAGTGAAGCCATCAAATCTTCATCTTTTCTTTATTACGAGGTTTTTGATTACTGATTGAACTATCTGACTCATAATTGCTCTGTACAGATTTTTCTGTTTCTTCATCATTCAGGCTTGGTAATTTCATGTTTCTAGGAATTTATCCATTTTTTTCTAGTTTATGCAATTTGTTGGCATATCATTATTCATAGTCACTTATGATTCTTTGTTTGTTGTTTTAGAGATGAGGTCTACCTTTACTGCCGGGGCTAGAGTATAGTGGCACGATCATAACTCACTGCAGTTTTGAACTCTTGGGCTCAAGCAATCTTCTGCCTCAGCCTCTCAAGTAACTGGGGCTACACTTTTGAACCACTCTGCCAAGCTAATCCTGACAATTTTACAGTTTCTTTGTTGCTATCTCACTCTTTCTCATCTGATTTTTTTATGGTGGTATGATTTGATGTCTTTCTTTTTGTCTTCAGTGTATCTACTAGAGACTTTTTCTTTGTGGTTACCATAAGGCCTACATAAAACATCTCATAGTTATAATGGTCTGTTGTAAGATAATAATAATTTTAGGCTGGGTGTGGTGGCTCACACCTGTATTCCCAGCACTTCAGGAGGCTGAGGTGGGAGGATCGCTTGAGTCCAGGAGTTTGAGACCAGCCTGGGCAACATACTGAGACCCTGTCTCTACCAAAATATTTAAGGATCACTTGAGGTCAGGAGTTTGAAACCAACCTGGCCAACATTGTGAAACCTTGTCTCTACTGAAAATACAAAAAATTAGCTGGACATGTTGGCGGGCACCTGTAATCCCAGCTACTTGGGAGGCTGAGGCAGGAGAATCGCTTGAACCCGGGAAGTGGAGGCTGCAGTGAGCTGAGATTGCACCACTGCACTCCTAGCCTGCGTGACAGAGCTAGACTCTATCTCAAAAAAAAAAAAAAAAAAAAAAAAATTAACCAGGTGTGGGAACACACACCTGTAGTCCTGTAGTTCCAGCTACTCAGGAGGTTGAGGTCAGAGGATCCCATGAGTCCAGGAAGTGAGTTTACAGTGAGCACTCTGGCCTGGGCTACAGAGCAAGACTCTGTCTCTCAATAATAATAATAATAATAGTAATAATAATAGCTTAATTTGACCACATATAAAAAGTCTACACTTTTAACTTCTCCAACCATGTCATGTTATTGATGTTGCAATATATATCTTTTATATATTGTGTATCTATTAGTAAATGACTGTAGGTTTACTTATTTTTAACCTGCATCTTTCAGCCACCACACCTGGCCTACGTGTATGTTATAATAGTTTACAAAGCTATACCTTCCTTACCCCTCCATTTCCTTGTCTAAGAGTCGGTGACTTTGAAGTCTTCTAGTTACTCTCCCTGCCTTTTTTTTTTTTTTTTTTTTTTCATTTTTTCATACAAGTCAGGGGGTCAGGCGCAGTGGCCCACCCTGTGGTCCCAGCACTTTGGGAAGCTGAGGCAGGTGGATCACCTGAGGTTAGGGGTTCTAGACCTGCCTGGCCAACGTGGCAAAGCCCCATCTCTACTAAAAATACCAAAATTAGCCAGGCCTGGTGTCGCACACCTGTAATCCCAGTTACTCTGGGCCCATAGCACTTCAAAACACTACACTTGCCTAATGTCCCTGCTTTTGTATGGAAATCCTTCCATAGTACTTACAAACATTAATCCCAATCCTCACAACAGTCGTAAGGGTTATCATTCCTGTTGTATTAGATAGAGAATGGCAGGCTTGGAAAATTGAACTAATTTGCCCAAGAAAATAAAGCTTATAATTATTCAAATTTGAGTATAAAATGCATGTAACTGAATCTAGTATCTTTGATCTGTCAGTACAATACACTGCCTTCCATTTTATTCTCTCTCCTTCTCTTGAACCTACAAATGTCTTTTCTGCCAGTCATTCATCACTACTATAGTGCTCATGTACTTGTTAAGCCCCCTCTTCTCTTTAACAAAGGTTAGCATCTCAGAATTCCAAGACAAACGCTATTTTCATCAAACTCCAAACATATACTATATCTGTCCACAAATGAGTCCTATTTACTACTCATACTATGTTCATTTCACACTGGACTTTTCTTAAGCTAGGCTTTTTTCTGGATTGCCACCCTCTAGTTCCTTATCATTTTTTTAAAGAGCTCTGGCTGTCCAGTTACAGAATCCAGAGCAGGGCTATCCAAGAGAACATTCAATGGTGATGGAAATATTCTATATTTGTGATGTCCAGTATATACTTCCAGTACAAAAGCCACTGGCCACATTTGGCTGGTGAAAATTGGAAATATGAATAATGTGACTGAGAAACTGAATTTTCAAATTCAACTATTTCAAAATAAAATGCACATTTTATTTAAATTATTTGAAATTTTAAAAGCCACGTGTGGCTAGTGACTACTCTCTTAGACAATGCATATCTAACCAGGGGCTGGCGAAATTTTTCTTGAAGGTCCAAATAGTAAGTATTTTAGGTTTGCAGTTCACACATTTTCTATCATACCTACTCACTTCTGCCCTTTTAGCACAAAAGCATCCATAGATAATATGTAACAAGTGTGGCTAATAAAACTTCATTTGTAAAAATGGGTCCAGAGCCATAGGCCATAGTTTACCAATCCCTGGGGATTTTCCATTAGGCATATTCATTTCATCCTGACAATAGCCTTGTTAACAGTGTGATCATTCATTCATTCATTCATTCACTCATTTATTGAGACAGGGTCTCACTGTCACCCAGGCTGGAGTACAGTGGTGCAGTCTTGGCTCACTGCAACCTCTGCCTCCCGGGTTCAAGCAATTCTCTTGCCTCAGCCTTCCCGGTAGCTAGGATTACAGGTGCATGCCATCATGCCTAATTTCTGTATTTTTAGTAGAGGTGGGTTTTACCATGTTGGCCTGGCTGATCTCAAACTCCTGACCTCAAGTGATCTGCCTATCTCACCCTCTCAAGATGTTGGGATTATAGGAGTGAGCCATCACACCTTGCCACTTCCCTTATTTTACAATTCATACTGTGGGATGCTGTTATGTGTCTGTGTGTGTATATGCAATGAGAAATTGCACGTGGGTATGATTAGAGTCATCCTTTAACAAGGGAGATATGACTAAGGCATGATGTGTATGTTTAGCAAGCTTCCCAAAGGAATTCTAACCTATAGTAATGTTTGGGAACCTGTGACTTACTTTGTTTTCCTAATCACTCCCCTCATCTTATGATGTAACCTGATTTCTCTCTGTTTTCCTCATCCATTTGTAAAAAACAGCAGTTAAATTCTCCCATATTGACTGAAGTTTTGTTTCTCACAAATAAAAACATGAGTGATTGCTTTCATATTTTCTTTCAGTCCTGGAATCAAGATGTGAGACCAAGAAATTATTTCTGAAGAAAGAAATTTATGAAATAGAATCAACCCACTGGCAAATAATGGAAAAACTCACAAGACGTGATTTTCAGTGCTCTAGGTTCAGAGATGATTGGGAATGTAATATCCAGTTTGAGAAACAACTTGGCTCTCAGGAGGGACATTTCAATCAATTGATATTCACTCATGAAGATCTGCCCACTTTGAGGAAGCATCGATCCTTTACATTACAGCAAATCATTAATAGTAAAGAGAAATTCTGTGCATCTAAAGAATACAGAAAAACCTTTAGACATGGTTCACAGTTTGCTACACATGAGATAATTCATGCCATTGAGAAGCCCTATGAATGTAAGGAATGTGGAAAGTCCTTTAGACATCCCTCAAGACTTGCTCATCATCAGAAAATTCATACTGGCAAGAAACCCTTTGAATGTAAGGAATGTGGAAAAACCTTTATTTGTGGTTCAGACCTTACTCGACATCATAGAATTCACACTGGTGAGAAACCCTATGAATGTAAGGAATGTGGTAAGGCCTTTAGTAGTGGTTCAAACTTCACTCGACATCAGAGAATTCACACAGGTGAGAAGCCTTATGAATGTAAAGAATGCGGGAAGGCCTTTAGTAGTGGTTCAAATTTTACTCAACATCAGAGAATTCATACTGGGGAGAAACCCTATGAATGTAAGGAATGTGGCAATGCCTTCAGTCAGAGCTCACAACTTATTAAACATCAAAGAATCCATACAGGTGAGAAACCCTATGAATGTAAGGAATGTGAGAAGGCTTTTCGTTCTGGCTCAGACCTTACTAGACATCAGAGAATTCATACTGGGGAGAAACCCTATGAATGTAAGATATGTGGGAAGGCCTATTCTCAGAGTTCACAGCTTATTAGTCATCATAGAATTCATACTAGTGAGAAACCCTATGAATACAGGGAATGTGGAAAGAACTTTAATTATGGTCCACAACTTATTCAGCATCAAAATTTGTACTGGTGATAAACCAGAATATATGAAATGTAAAGGGAGGCTTTTAATTATGGCTCAAAATAGAATTTATCTGGTTAATAATTCCTCTAGGCTTGGTAGAGTGGCTCACATCTGTAATCCCAGCACTTTGGGAGGCCAAGGAGGGCAGATCACCTGAGGTCGGGAGTTCGAGACCAGCCTCACCAACATGGAGAAACCCCATCTCTACTAAAAATACCAAAAAAAATTAGTCAGGCATAATGGTGCATGCCTGTAATGTCAACTACTCGGGAGGCTGAGGCAAAAGAATCGCTTGAACTCAGGAGGCAGAGGTTGTGGTGAGCCACAATTGCGCCATTGCACTCCAGCCTGGGCAATGAGCAAAAACTCCCTCTCAAAAAAATAATAATTCAGGATAATGTAGAAGCGTTTTATTTGCAGACTACAGCTTATTCATCCTGGGTAAGATAATGTTGGAGAAACACCCTATGATAGAATATACTTTGGAAACCCTTAACTAAATGCTTACTTCTCTTGACATCAGATAATTCAGTCTAGCAATATGATAAATTGTTCAGTCTGTCGTGCTGAAAAGGACAGCACTTCAACACCTTTCTAACTTTACACATCAGAGAATTTATGTGGAAATGTAGTCCTGTGATTTTCATTTTTTTCCCCTAATTTATCTAATTGTTACATTATTAGTATTTTATTCCATCTTAAATTTACATGGCTGTAAATTTGATCTGTTTACATCCTGATTTATAAAATATTTTTAATATTTTAAAATAGTACCTGGGAAAATGACCTCTTTATTTTTGAGGATGGCTTATTCTTTTTGCTCTTTATAACTTTAAGGCTTCCTTATTGTAAAAATGTTCATGAACAGCATTTCACTCAATAGAGATCCCTTAATATCTTCATGGTATTTTGTTTGTTACTTTTATATCACTTATGAAATTCTATTGGTGGATATTGTAGTCTCCTCTAGATATTTTGCCATAATACATGCCAAAATACAAGTCCCTGATGGGCATTCTTCCTAAGCACATCTTTGTATCATGTCTTGTGTTTTTTTTGTTTGTTTGGTTTTTTTGAGACAGAGTTTCGCTCTTGTTACCCAGGCTGGAGTGCAATGGCGCCATCTCGGCTCACCACAACCTCCGCCTCCTGGGTTCAGGCAATTCTCCTGCCTCAGCCTCCTGAGTAGCTGGGATTACAGGCACGCGCCACCATGCCCAGCTAATTTTTTTCTATTTTTGGTAGAGACAGGGTTTCACCATGTTAACCCGGATGGTCTCGATCTCTTGACCTTGTGATCCACCCGCCTCGGCCTCCCAAAGTGCTGGGATTACAGGTGTGAGCCACTGCGCCCGGCCTTTTTTTTTCCTTTTTAGAGATGGAGTCTTGCTCTGTTGTCCAGGCTAGAGCGCAGTGGTGCAATCTTGGCTCCCTGCAGCCTCTTGCCTCCCGGGTTCAAGCAATTCTTCTGCCTCAGCCTCCTAAGTAGCTGCAATTACAGGTGCCTGCCACCACACCCAGCTAATTTTTGTATTTTTAGTAAAGACAGGGTTTCACCATCTTGGCCACGTTGGCCTTGAACTCCTAACCTCGTGATCCACCCGCCTCAGCCTCCAAAAGTGCTGGGATTAGAGGCATGAGCCACTGCACCTGGCCGTATCATGTCTTTTAATTGCAGAAATAATATGTGAATACATTTTTCTTATAAAAGATGCAGGCATTACAAAAAGGTACCCTTTGACCATCATCCTTGTATCCATTCCATTCCCAAAAAAGAGTTTTAATCAGTTTATTATTTATTCTCATCATTTTCCTGTTTATATACCCATGTGTGTCTCAGTAAAAATTATAAAATGGAGGGTAATTATAATACCTACCTCATAATGCTTTGTGAGGACTGATTAAGACACATAAAGTGCTTAGAATTGTGCCTGACATAATAAATACATACTCACTGAATGTTAGTCATCATTATTGTATTCATCATCATCAGTATTATTGTTTGTAGAAAGGCTTTTTAACTTCTGCAGAACTTAGTCACTGTTAGGCAGGGTATTTGACTGAAGAAAGACCCTTTGAAGGTAACAAGTTAAGAAAGTTTCCCATCATCATGTACTTCTGTTGAACACGAAATAATCCTAGGTGTTGGTGGGGAAAGTATTGTGAATATTGGGTGTGAAGAATTTTATTCTGACTGATAACTCTTTCTGCCACATTATATACCCAGTGAAACATAAATCACAAAATATTGGGGTACTAATGAGGAAAAAAAGTATGAAAAGAGAAAGGGCATGATATTTTAAAAATGGACAGAGATAAAAACATAGTTACAGATTTAAAAGGTTCTGTTGAATATAATGCTTTTTTTCTGATATGTTTGAAAATTTAAACAAAATGATTTTAAAGGAAAAATAGACATCAATATTGACTCCAAGAAAATGAGATTTTTTTTAAAAGATGGATTCTCACTCTGTAGCCAAGGCTGGAGTGCGGTGGCATGATCTTGGCTCACTGCAACCTCTGCCTCCTGGGTCCTGGTTCAAGCAATTCTCCTGCCTCAGCCTCCCGAGTAGCTGGGATTACAGGAGTATGCCACCATGCCCAGCTAATTTTCAGGAGGCAGAGGTTGCAGTGAGGCAAGATCGTGCCATGGCACTTCAACCTGGCGACACAGTAAGACTCTGTCTCAAAAAAATAAAACAAAACAAAAAGCCCACAGATTGGCTTTGTTTGGGGTTAGGTTACTGTGTTAAAATGGGCTCTCCCTGTGCTCAGAAAATGCTCAGCAAGCAGCTCCCCACACTGGACAGATTACATGCGTGGGAGGATGAAGTTTACGTCTGTAGATCTGTCATTTTATGCCCTACTTCCTTTTTTCTTAGATCCTGTGTAGAGGGGTCTCTCTGAATGAACATTGTGTTACTTTGCTTTTTACAGGCATAAGGAAGTAAAATATTTCATAATAAAATTGAGAAAGGTAGAATGAGCAAAATACCTGCGAATGAGAGAATTATTAAAGATGGACTATTCTAATGTTTTACATTATCAAAATGAGACAACCAAATGAAATTTTGTTTATATTCTTTTCTTGTGTGCTTATGTCTTTTAGAAAGTTCCTCATCTAAAATTACAAAAATAGTGTATTTGCATCTAAATTCATGAAACAGTACCATTAAGGAAAAAAATGATTATTTTTGTCCTTCTCTGTTCCTCATTCCTTCCTGTTTACATTTGCTTCTGAATAATGTTTAGAGGTTGTGTATATTACCCAAGCATTTCTCCATGCTAAAACATTAACACGATTATTTATTTTATTATGTTTTTACAAAAAAAAGTAGATGATAAATATACATTTCCCTGAAATTTGCTTTTTTACATTCAGCTGTACATTTTGGATTTTCCTTCAAGCCAATGGATGATGATCTAACAATCTTTCTGATGGTTACAGTACGTTCCACAGTATTCTTGTACCCATGCCTTTTCAACCATTTTCCCAATTGTGATATTACAGATTGTTTGCTCTTTTTTGCCAAGTGCTGCAGAAAACACTCTTGTATTCTTATTCTATTTCTATAAAATAAGTTTCCCAAGTCATTTCCACTGTTTTCTATGTTTCCTAAGGTTTGGCCTCTAGAAAATTTCAGGGGGCAAGAGAATAAAGGAATAGAGTGCAGTTTTTCACATATGTGATTCTGTGAGTGTGTATACACAGAGATGTAATATTTTAATACATTAGGAATTGATTACTGTATATGAAATAATGAAGGATGTCAGACTTGTTTCTATCCAGGAATAAAACCAATTATGCCAGAAGTAATTATTATTCACCTTTCTCCTACTGAATTAAAATACTATCAGTTGTATATTAAATGCTCAGATACTCACATCTATTTCTGTTCTCCATATTCTAGCAATCCTTGACACTTTTCAGTAGCTTTTATAACTTGGAAATAAAGATGTATGTATATATTATTAATATATAGTTTATTACTTGGAAATAAAGACATGTTTCTTCATGAGAATTTCTGAATTATTTTATTCATTTTCCAATGAAAACACATTAGGCTGGCCGGTTGAGGTGGCTCACACCTGTAATCCTAACACTTTGGAAGGCCAAGAGGCAGGTGATACCTGAGGTCAGGAGTTCAAGACCAACCTGGCAAACATGCCGAAACCCTGTCTCTAATAAAAATACGAAAATTAGCCAGGCATGGTGGTTTGTGCCCATAATTTTACTTGGGAGGCTGAGGTAGGAGAATCGCTTGAACCCTGGGGGCAGCGGTTGCAGTCAGCTGAGATCACACCACTGCATTCCAGCCTGGCTGACAGAGCAAGACTCCATCTCAAAAAGAAAAAACACGTTAGGATTATGTTTTGAATTTTATTCAGTTTAGAGTGTCCCAAATGAATAAATAATTGACATTGAGTGTATATTCATTAACATATGCCATGAGGTTTCTTTTATAACTCTTCATCCTCCTTACCCTCTATTATTTAATAATAACACCATCTACTGTAATGTCTCACAATACTTAATATATGCTAGTAGTATCTGAAAATGTAATCCACTAGGGTTCTACTTATAAGGTGATAGATTCTTTAGGGCTTTATAATTCTATAATCTGCAGATAAAGGTGACATACCTATTTCGCTGAGGCTGAGGCAGGAGAATCGCTGTAATTCGGGAGGCAGAGGTTGCAGCGAGACGAGACTGTGCTACTGTACTCCAGCCTGGGTAACAGAGCGAGGCTTCATCTTCCCCCCCCAAAAAAAAAAAAAAAATCATTATTTTTTTTTTATGTTTGAAATTAAAAAAAAAAAATGTTTTCAAAGCCTGATTGCAAAAATCCACCTAAAATGAGGAATCTACAGAACCTAAAATCAGAAATAACACAAGGATTATCTTGAGACCAGGATGCTCACTATTGCTACTTCTTTTTTTTTTTTGAGACGGAGTTTCACTCTTGTTACCCAGGCTGGAGTGCAATGGCGTGATCTCAGCTCACCACAACCTCCGCCTCCTGGGTTCAGGCAATTCTCCTGCCTCAGCCTCCTGAGTAGCTGGGATTACAGGCACCTGCCACCACGCCCAGCTAATTTTTTGTATTTTTAGTAGAGACGGGGTTTCACCATGTTGAC